GGTAGTATTATTAGGGTTTAGGGTTTAGGGTTTAGGGTTTAGGGTTTAGGGTTTGGGGGTTTGGGGTTTAGGGTTTAGGGTTTTAGGGTTTAGGGTTTAGGGTTTAGGGTTTATTAGGGGTACCCCTTAAAGGGTACCCCTTCTGAACCCTACTTTTGGCTCTCTTAAAAGGGACCTTATTGAGAGGGTCTAGATCCCCAAGGGTCCCCCTAATCCTGGCTCCCACAGCCTCCATGGATTGCAAGACGAAGTGCAAATTCAAAGGCTGTCATATACCATCATCTCCTACAATAGACTATAGCAGACTATAAGATGTAACATAAGATTCGGCCGGTGCGTAGATGAATTTATCTAAATGGACCAATCTGGTTCGGTGCAACGAACCGCGGTGCCACAGCAAATGCCACTCAGCAACATGCAGGAGCATGAGCATCGTGCCGTCTGTGCGAGCTCTGCAATTTGCCCGGACATCCGAAACCAGGTCTTCAGCAACCCTAAGCTTTCGTCCCTGGATTCGAAGGCGCAGGTCTAGCTCGTGCTGGCGGCTACGAGGGCTGAAAAGAACATCAAGCCCCACCCTAATCCCTAAACCCTAAANNCCCTAAACCTAAACCCTAAACCGTATTTCCCAAGCGCCTGTCCGAAGTGATGATTCTGCTTCGTCTGCAGTGTGGACCGCAACCTCACACATCCAATCACAGCCGGCGCAGCCGGCGGTCGGGTTTCACACAGTAGTAGCAACAGATCAGCGTACGAAATCATGCAGACTGTAGCATACTGTAGCATATTTCAGCAGCTGCAACATCGCTCAGAAACCAGGATGGATTCGCTTCTTGTCCACACCAGCGGGAGCATGAAGAAAGGCGCAAGCGCAACACACAACATCAGACTCGGAGGTCGTCCCACAAACCCTGAACCTCAAACATCCCAAAACCCTGTGCCAAGAAGAACCACCGAGCTGAATGCGGCTCCGCCGCTTCTCAGCAACCTCGGCGACCATCGCTGCCAGAAGTACCTGCACCTGTGACACACTCACATCTGGACCGGGCCTGGGGTTCGTCTTCAGGGATGATGAGCACTGAGGACGTCTGCAACTCTGAGCAGTTTCGGGTTTGGGATTTCGACTGGCTTCTTGGGTCAAGGATGTTCGGCACAGCTGGCAGACTCTACGGCAGGACATGCCCTATTGAAGCCAGCCGTGTGGCTTTTGCGCAAAGGTCATCCTGGATGTCGATAGGCAGATCTGGATGCTGGTCCTCGGCACGCGGCATCACGAGCAACAACGGCTACTTCAACTGTCCCTTCACAGCACTTGTCTCATCCCGGCATGATGCTGCACAAGAAGAAGGGGAGAGTTGAGACCGAAAGGCAATGATCTCAGTTCGACCCGCGCCCNNCCCCCCCCCCCCCCCCCCCGCTGCACGAAAAGGTCAAAGAAGTGGGAAGGATCCGGGTCCAGAGAGTCTCTTCATAAAAAATAATTAGCGGGCACCTTCTGACCCGACGACCAATGTGAAAGAGCAAATGAAGTCATAGAAGCGGAGACACTAACTTCGCTTCGTAAGGGCTGCTTGTCCGAAGATCGGCAACATTTTCGAAAGGCAACTATGACTACGATTGCGACATACCATTCAATATAAGCGCTTGTGATGGCTTCCTGCACTACCTGGCAATAGTACCTGTTACCACCCACTTTCCCGAAAAGTGCTGCGCAGCATCCGCCAGATAGTTGGCAATGGCATCATTTGGCACGCCTTGGAATTTCGATTCATCCACAGCTTGCAGCCCGGAGCATCGGAAGCAAACTGTAGCATCGTGCTTAACACAGTGGCTGAACAAAGCTAACATCCAAGATTCTACATTTTTGTAAGCCCGAAGCTAGAAGAAGCTAGGATCTTGATTGCAACACAAACCGGCCAAAATTGGAGGCCCGTGCCACTGTTCCTGTAGCCCACCTCTGTAGAAATTGGAAACTCTAGCAGTCGAAAAGGGTCCCCACATCGAAACGAAGGCCTGATTCGGCGTTGCCAGCACGAGACGTCTCGACGGCATCGTCGTCGTCGCCTGACAAAACTTTCAGGCTTGTGACAATAATACTATACCAAACACCGTGCCGCTGGTAGTACCACGCTTTGTCGTCGTCGAGTGGTTTCATGTTGATCAATGGCTGTACCGACAGCAGCAAAACAAGTCAAACTCACTAGCGACATTAGCCGTCAATTTTACCAACGCTGCTCACAAGCCGCATTTGCCTTTTCGTTGGGGCAATTGCATTTCAAGTTGATGTCAGATGCCTCCCCTACGAGTCCAGGGTGACAAAATCAACAGGTTGAAGGTGTGGATACCATCAAGCTGGCCACGACCTGAACGATTCGATGCATGTGGCAACTGCTGCCGTAATCACCAGCACTCGTTTCGCTCATCCAGGGGCATGGTGTTGCGCTGTACCATACCACATACCATCAGCACAAGCAGATGTTGCACGCTAGCAGTGCTGTGCTGCATGAAGAATGACGCTGTTTAACTGACGTAGCATTGCGACTGCGGGATGTAGTGCACCAATCTAGAGCTATTCTCTAGACCCTAAGCCCCTACGTCTACACTCGTGTGTGGGTGGAACCCAATGCTGTGAAAGGTTGGAGTAAAGTATGATTGCGAGAACTGTCTTTTTCAGTATTCGCTGACATGATGAAGAGGGTGAAGGTGCTGATGATGCTGCTAGTTCAAACGACAACGGCGATGAGGATGACAACAATGTAGGCAAATTCAAATTCTCAGATCCAGACTCGCGGTTCCCATGCCCAAACCCCGAGGCTACGGCCTCAAAAACGAATTCAGACACATATTTTCAGACCAGAACCCCTAAATCATGACTCGTGAGTCCGCAATGCCAACCTCGCTTCTTCTTGGCCCCCTTCGTGCGCTTGCCGCCCTTCTTCGCGTGAAGGTCGTCATCCTGCATCCGCCGCTTCAGGGAACGTGCTCCAGTAGGCACGACTAGAAGCAGTGTGAAGATGGTGATAGCAATCAGAGAACACAGAATCACATGCATGATGTGAAAATGGTCACAAAACGACCAGCAAGCAAGAAAAATACCAACAAGCAAAGCTCAGAATAATGCAAAACATACCTGGGCACCAGCAACTACAGAGATCGTGCTCACTGTCCCATCATCACCGTCATCTTCAACATCGGTGTCATCATTTCCATCATCGTTGTGATTTGTGATCAACCGTACTGTATGCGGATCAGTGGCGGACATGTGTGGCTTGAATGTTGGTGTTCGCCTGAACGGTGGTCCGAGCAACGACTGTTTGGATGTTGTTACTAATTTGTAAGTAATCACGTGTTGATGTCACGGCGCAGGTGGCTGCCTACCCGAATGGGAACAGATATCGATAGCCTTAGTTTTGCCATGAAACATACCCATACTGTCGCAGACTGTGGAACATGAGCCGAACCAGCAAAGCAAGTCGAACTCGAACGGCAGCACTACAGCAATGAACAGTCACAATACTGACAGCAATCGAAACCCGAGTAAAGTAAAAGCTTGACTCGTCCCTGTACCCTGGTTGACATGCTCTGATCGGTCAGACGGTAAGTGAGGGAGATCGCACTGACAAGCTGGGCCATGTTCGGCTTCCATTGCGAGCAGCAGGGCTGCAATTTATAACGTCGTCAAGAGCTGGAGCTGCAACGTGGCGTAAATATAGGTAAATATGGTAGATGCTTGTTCATTGCACAAACAAATGCAGGCAAGACAAAAGCGGCTCTCACATCAACAACGGGCAAGGAAACTTTCCCGTAACACCTGCAAAACCCCCTAAACCCACATAAGCCCCCTGGGCCTCTTCCTCCATTGTTTTTTTGGCTCCGCTTTTCTTCTTCGTGGCGGCCTCGGCCGCTTTCTGGACATCGGCCTCCAGGGCTTTGGCGATGCCTCGGATTTGGGTTTAGGGTATTTTGTTGACATGTTTTTCCAACTGCATGTGCTGAAGGAGAGCCCACATAGGGCAGGCTGCCATGCCCGGGTTTAGAGTTTTTTAAGCGCACCGGGTTTTTCTCTCCGCAGGGATACGTCTCAGCCAGAAGGCCTGGACGCACAAACCCACCGAAGGCATACTTCATCACCCACAAAACTAGAGACATTTCACGTACATCATGTCGTACACCATTTCAGTCTCCATGGTCTCCATAACCATCCCGGCTACGACTGCGCTTAACTCGACGACCACGATCATTAGTTTCCCCTCGATCTGCATCGTCTCTCGGTCTACGTGCAGCTGAAGGCAAACGACATGTACCAGGACAGCGTCGACGAGCGGCACGAAGACGACCATCAGCACGAGCACGGCCTGATTCTGTAACAAGTACTGCAGGTGGCCGTAGCGCAGGAGGTCACCTACTGGGTCAGGAGGAAGTTTTGCATTCTGAGGTACGTTGGTCACCGGCGTGGTGCTGTCCGTCTGCACCAAGAACAGTGGACTTTGATTCACATGAACGTTTCGAGGATCACCATGTCGCCCACGCATGAGCACGCCAAGCTCGACGGTAACCCAAGAGGTTGGGGTGGTGGCTGCTGGCATTTGGTGGTAGATCTTCTTTTGGCTGGGCAGATTGGGCTGCATGATGACATGTGCTACCTCACCTCCTTGGGAGCTTGCAGCCGTCGACCCACTTGCCGCCCCGGAGATTACTTGCCAAATGGCTTGTTCTTGTTTAGCTGCGTTCGTTCCACGGCCGCTCTTCGTCTTCACGTACAAACCATGTATTCAGCTCCTCAACAGCATTCAGCCACACAAAGCTTGGAGACGTGGGGGCATTCGAGTCTTTGCAAAGGGCTTGCGAAGTAGATCCCGTATGTCAGCGGTTATAGTTGCCGATTCACCTCATCCCGAACCACATCACCCCAACGCACCACAGAGCTGGTTGAGGTAGTGATGGTGGACGTACTCCTGTACCCAAACCCAAACCACTGTATCATGCTCACTTCTTCGATCTCATTTTCCACCGCCGCCACCCATTGAAGATACCTCTCAGATCCAACACATGGTTCATGCCAACAGTAGTCAAACCATGGAGGACCAGCATAGCTGTGGGGGTGGTAGTCGTGCTCGCCATGGCATCTGTCGACGGCTCGTTCTCCCGTGTCCCCCAGCCCAGCTTCCGGCACAGGTGCATCATCCTCCTCCTTCGGGTCTCTCCAGATTACCATCAGAGCCGTGCGAGGTTGTACCGGCAAGGGTGGCGGAGGTGGTCAGGAATGATCCTCATCCTCACTTTCCGCTGTAGGTACCTCCACCATTCCTCCATCTCTTCACCTACGGCCCATCCGGAGGATCCTGACGACCTTTCACGGCTGCGGCTCCGTGGTGGGCTTCCAGAAGCTCTCGTCTGCCTGGGTTTCGATCTGGATCTGGCGCTGTATCGACGAGCCAGGTGCCACCGAAGTTGATGAGCTGGATGCCACTCAAGCCCACTTGTAACACGTCTTCCCACTGCAGGATTACCGTGTTGCAACTGAGCGCAGTTAAGGAGATTGATCCTTTGGATTTCTCCCTGGGAAACTCTGGTGATGCCATAATGGCAGTTGCATTAGGAATGAATGTTAATGTGGCGGCCGTTTTGTCCAGCGTGCCTCTTTAATGTGTTTTTTTGCTTATTCAAGCCGAGACCAAAAAGGGCGGCCTAATTAATGCTTTGTTTGGGCCTGGCAACTGTTTTGGTTGCGTTGCTTCCTTCTAGTAATGGTCAATCTTGAAGCAGCCGCGACCTAAAGCCGCCCTCCCAACCCGAAACTTTCCAAAAGCCCGAAACCGCTCATAAGCCTAAACCCTAAATCCTCCTTGAGCCTCATCCCAACCTCCCCGTATTAAGCCTGAACCTTAGAGCCCCCCGAACCCTAAAGCCGTGAACCCTAAAGCCGAAAACCCCCGTCCAAACCCTGAAACCCTGGCCCGAAACCGCCTTTAATTTAGCCCAAATCCCTCTTGAGCCTAATCCCAGCCCCCCTTAACCCTGTTTTGAGCATTGCGAGGCTTTCTAAGGGGTGTAGGAGGGCCCAAGCTCAGGTTCTAGGTCTTATTTATCTAAGGTTTGGGTCTTTGGGCTGAGAACAGAAGCTTTCCGAGGCTTTCTAGAGCTTTCGTCAGGCACGGGTTCTAGGTGGGATTTACCCAAGGTTTGGGTTTTTGGGCTGAGAACAGAAACCTTAAGCTTTCCGAGGCTTTCTAAGCGGTTCAGGAGGGCTCAGGCTCGGGTTCTAGGTGGGATTTACCTAAGGTTTCAGTCTCGGACCTCAGGAATGAAACTTTTTTTCAGGCACGGCAGGCTCAGGTCGTAGGTCGAACTTGAGCAGAATGGTGCTCTCAGTCTTTGGTGCATTAATTAATGGACATGATGGACAGATATGAGAACAACCGTGTGACAGGCATTGAAGCCAAAACAGACCCTTGACAGCTATTCTGCTAAGCATGCTCCAGAAAGAAGAGCTGCCTAGCGACTGCAGGCACTGTCATTATCAAAGGAGTTCTGGCAACTACAGTAAAAGCGACAGAGCATTCCATATTCAAGCGTAGATGATGCCACAGACTAGCAGTAGCTAGAATGGCACTTTGACCACCGCACAAACATACGATTGAAGATGCGATGGCTCGTGAATCTAGTACTATCAACAGTCGGAAAATCATGCAATCTCTGCAAGCTGCGCACAACACAAATCACACCAGCGGAAGCAACGAAAACAAAGTTGGCAACGACGGATTTGAAGCCACAGCAATGATAGTAGTGTGTACTTACTTATACTTATACCGTAGTATATCTATACTATAACTAGTATGGTCATACTAGAGTTGTACTTTAGTAGTATAGCTCTACTACGTACACTCATTCTATATCCTCTCTCAAAGTCTCTGAGGTGCTTTGGATAAAGCCGCTGCTTGCTGCGACTCGGTCCAAGACCACTGCGTTGCTGGGCAGCTTCTTCCTTCGGCCGATCTCGGTTTAGGGTTTGGGGGTTTAGGGGTTTAGGGTTTGGGGATTTGGGGGTTTAGAGTTTGAGGGCTTAGGTTTCGGATTCAAGTTTAGGGCTTTACGGGTTTAGAATTTGGGGTTTAGGGCTTCGGGCTTAGGGCTTAGACTTTCCGTGATGTGCTGCCCGAGGGTTCACAGGCGTTCCTTCCCTCAGTTGCATTGTAGACAACATCGCATCTCTACCGTGGGGGGGCGTCAGGAGTTAAGAGTGCTTGCTTCTGTGCTTCTTGGTCCCCTCAAATATAGGGGCCTTAATAATTCTAATAGGGTATGGGGGCCCATGATACTATACGTATAATAAGGAACCGCTTAAAATAATAGTGGTAGTTATTAAATTAGGCCCCTATAGTATCAAGCGGGTCTAATAGCTCGAGACCACAGGCGTGGAGAATGGGCCAGTTTCTTAGGGTTCTGGTTTTCGGTTGCCCCGTTGGGGGGTACTTCCTGCAAGAATCACCTGAGGGCATGTAGGTAGTTGGGAATCCACTTCAGGTACCTACCTAAACTCCGAAACCCCCAAAAAAACTAAACACCCCAACCCTGGAAACTTACGAGTATCCGAAAAATGCCCTGCCCGGTGGCTGGCTCGAGAGCTGCAGCAGCAGCTCGCTGGCATCGGCTGCCTCGGCTGTGGCTTGAAGGCTTCAGGGTGGTTTACGGTTGGGGGTCAGTATCTTCCAGAGTCTACCCGGAGAGCTTCGACTTTCCTTGTTCTGCCTTCAAGAAACCAACCCCAAACAGAAGCATAAGGTGAACAACGAACGCTTGTGCGCTCCACGGGGTTCATGATTGAGTATGCCCATCGAGGTGCCGTGAGGGCATGCGGAAGCAGAGGCTGTGCATCGATCCAGCCATCTCCAGCCAGGGCATCACTTATGGAGGCCATGGCGGAATCCACCAGGTGGCTTGCGACGAAAGCACCGACCAAGTTGTAGCCAGAAGCCTTCAGGAAAAGAGCTGACACTGAGCATAGAACTCGTCATATCCTGCGTTCGTTTTCAAGGGTTTCAATGTAAGCTACTGTGATAAAGAAACCATAGTATTTACCATAGACTCCTACTTTGTGACTTCTGCTTCTACGCTGGCTACGACAATCACTTCGAATTGCGCATCCAATGAAGGTGCTGTGATTCTGATATCTTTTGTCTCACCCTCTCCTCTCATCTAGTGTTTTTTTGCCAGGCATAAAAGACTCTACTGCTGTACCAGCCTTCCGCTGTGCCGCCCAATCCTGCGAAGCTTCTGTGAGGAGCTTGGGATGATTCCACCTACACCTTAAACTAATATAGGGGCCTTAATAATTAGAATTGGGTTTTTGAGGCCCATTATACTATTATTATAATAAGGAACCCCCCAAAAGAGTATTGGTAATTATTTAGGCCCGTACATTACAACCACGACGACAATTACCACAGCGACCTGCAAGACAACGGCAAGGGCCTATTGATCATTGGTAGGGCTCAACGCCTCAGCCATCAGGGTTGTCCCAAGTTCCGAAATGTCGTATCACAGGATTGAACATGATGAGTATCTGGGATCTCTTGAAGACATATGAATCATATGACTACTGTTGCTACTGTTACTATCACACTTTAGTAGCAAAAAATTCATGGCTCACCATGCTGACGAAGTTCACAAGACTAGTGAAGGGGCCATTATTATTTAATCAGGGTTTTGGGGTACATGCTACTAGAACCACAAAAAATTCGGAACCCCAAAAAAGGAGTATGGGCACTTATTCAGGCCTCCACCCTACACCCTAAACCCTAAACCCTAAACCCCTAAACCCCTAAATCCCTAAACCCTAAACCCTAAACCCTAAACCCTAAACCCTAAACCCCAAACCCTCAACCCTGAACCTTAANNCCTTAAACCCTAAACCCTATAGTAGCTCTCGTCCTTCAGGCCGAGCCCAGATGACTTCGCGGCGGCGGCAGTAAGGTAGCCATTGGCCTCAAAGAAGCCTCGGTTTAGGGTTTAGGGTTTAGGGTTTAAGGTTTAGGGTTTAGAGTTTAGGGGTTTAGGGGTTTTGGGTTTAGGGGTTTAGGGGTTTAGGGTTTACGGTTTAGGGCTTGAGGATCTTTGAGGCCATTTGGGCTTATACGGATAATTTGGGGGTTGGGTTTTAGAGCTGAGGACCTCCGGTTTTACGGTTTCGGATTTACGGGTCTTTTAAAGTATAGGGCGGGATGATTTGGTGGGATAGGTGTTTAGCTCCTTTTCAAAGCGAAAGAAAGCCAGTCTGCAAAAGCTCCCGACCGCGATTCAATTTTAGGGCCGCGATATTTTGACTCGCAGGGAGGAAGGCTTTGCAATCGCCAGTGAATTACAGCTGTAAAGCACATCGTTTCACGGTGAAGGGCCTAATGGGCCTAATGTTTACGGTCGAGCCACCATCCACCTTGTTGGCCTCGGCATCGGTGTACGCTTTGGGCGTAAAAGTCGACCCATGGAATTTGCCGAGCACGACCTCATCAGGCGGCAAGGTTTTCGTGCTTGAAGTGGAGCAAAATCCTGCGATGTAGAGCGTAAGAACAAAATAGCAAGGAGGGAGGGAGAGGGAGAGAGAGAGAGAGAGCGATAGAGGGGCGGCCCAATCGACATGCTACGACCTGTGCCAATCAGAACGTCTGCATCCCAGGCTAAATTATGCGGGCTTCAAAGAAGCGCACACTTATGTGTATGTGTGTGTCTGGGTCTCTGTGTGTGTGTGTGTGTGCGGATGTACTTATAATAGGTGTGCATAGGCCTAAACGCACATATGATAAAACGATACTTCTGCTTAGATCCATATTTACACTTATATGCACATGTAATTTTATGTCTACTTACAAACACATGCACCGATTACCATCCCCAAGCCGGCCTCCTCCTTGATGAGCTTCTGCACTGCATTCGCAAGGAGATCGGCATCAAAGCCATGCCTGAAGCTTAGGACTGTCGAACTACTGCCGCTTCTTACGAAACAGCCTTGTGCAAACCACATTTGCCACTTCTGAATGTATAGCGTGGTTCTTCCTCCGCATTCCTGCACTTGGGGCGCAGCCACGAAGAGGTTTTAGGTAACAATCGCCCCTTACAGCTCCTGTCCTTGACAGTCATACTACAATACAGTTTTCGGGTCTAAACGATGTGAGGAAGAAGAACACATGATCACCCCTTCCGGTTCTGAGACATGCTCCTGGCACCAAGTTGGGTCTAGGGTGTCGAGACAGGACGATTTAGGCGACTACAACCATAAGGGGGATTAATGATTGGAATAGAGGTCTGGGGTATACTATAATATACATTAGGGACCACCAGGAAAGACTAAGACAAATGATTGCGATCTCTGGGAGCGTAGACGGACATATTCAGCGCATAATAAACTGAGCCGGAAGCATCGAATAAACGCACAAACAAAACTCGAGCACGCCAGGGCAACAAGTGGAATCAGTTACAATGCAGGAAACCCAAACGAGCGTGAACCCCAAACCCTAAACCAATGAGCAAGATGTCAGGAGAACATCAGTAACAGAAAGCAATGACCGAGACGACAACAGCGAGGACAACTTGTTGTAAAACAACAATAGCAACAATTGCAAGAGTAGTAACAATAACAAACAATAACACTTACTGTATGGCAGTAATAAGAAGAGTAGCTGTCTAAAGACGGTTGAACTCTTTAGGGTTTAACGGTTTAGGGCCCCTCGGGTGTTGAGCGTGTTTGGGGTGTAGGATTGTGGAAGCGGCCATGCATCTACCCTACACAAAAAAGCAGCAACAAGACAGACACCAGCAACATCAAACCCCGGCAGATTGCAATACTACGGCAGAGGCTGATGTCGGAAGGAACTCCAACTGCAAAGCAATACGAGGTTCAGCAGCAGAAGGAATACCAATTCTGATCCAGTTTGTACTCTGAGAAAGCACCGTTGCCAAGTCTGCGAAGAGGCACAACGAACTACAACAGCAACAACAAAGCAGCTGCACAATTCAGAATACGGAGCACTACGTAGGACAAAGCAATATAGACGCCCGCAGGTCCCACGGTGCTAGCAATCAATCTCGGCAAACAGCAGCAGTACACGCAAATCATAACTAGTCCGTCTGGCAATCCCTAGTCACGGTTGCGTGGAATCAAGAAGCAGCCACACAAATTCATAGTGACGCAGTCCAGGTCATTTACACTGCATGCAGCAACACAGATGCCTTCGCTAACTCCGCAAAACGAAAGCGCGTCTCCCTGTCCCACTTTGAGACAATTGTCTCGTCTCATTTCCGAGACATCCGACCAAAGATATGGTCCACGGGATGCAAGATTGCGCGCCTTCTGTGAGACGATGGCCAGAGCGGGGCTGCACATGCAGCAGACTCGCGAAACTCTGGCTCAGGGTGGAAGAGAAAGCTAAGGCAAAAAAAGACTCAGAATGATTTGGTGGTCAGGAGGAAGTACTCTTTCACGAAGTCCGCAACATCCTGGGTAAGCCTCTCCGCTGCTTCCTTGTTCCCTTCCAAGGAAGCGACCACATGATTGGGGGCCGAAACCTGGCCAGGGAACTGTTTGGGTTCGTGACTCCTGCCCCCACAGCGGAGCTGATCGTCTTCGTTGACAAGTTTGGAACCACTTCAACAACTGACAAGAGCAGCTGCGGCGAATCCTGCTCTGAATCCAGCCCACCACACGCAACTCCCTGAAGCACAAACTCTAAGCCCTTAAACCCCGAACTCACTCTGCACCCCAAGACCTCCCTGGCCAAATCCGCTGCAGTAAGCCCCCGTGCGTTCCGCAGGTCCAGCCGAGCGCCCGCAGCCAACAAGATAGCTGTCGCCTTCAACGTATTATGGGTAAGGGTTTAGCGACTGCCTTCACAGCCCAAGAAATCTACGTTTTCCGGCAAGGACAACCCTAAACCTGAACTATACAATGATATTGGCTGGAGGGGTTTCAGCTCACTAAACATTTCCTCAGGCGGAAGCGACTGGGCTGGGACGGATCTTTGACATCTCTGCCTCGAAAGAACTCGTGATGACGCTGCACATCAGCGGAGAGGCCTGGACAGAAAACGAGAGGAGATCTCCGATAGCGATGAGGCTAGTTGTCAAAATTAGGGTCCCTTTTTGGGTATCCTAAGTATTAGGTGCCGTATTATATTACGGACCCAAAAAGGGACCATAATTTTGACAACCACCCATGACTCTTACAGGATGTTTGTTGTTTTCCAAGGCAGTACCGCTAATTATCAACAACGATAGTTGCAATGAACTCCGAACAACACAGTCAAGCAACACAATGATGATGAGAATAACTTTCTCTTCGTAAAAAGCAGCTCGCATTCGTTCTGATGCCGACGTCGATGACGACACCGACCACCCATCGAAGCATTGGAACAACTAGAGCCACTGCAGCTGCTTTTTGCTGTTGCTGCTGCTAATACCAACAATAATAACGCCATGGAGTACTGCTGCTGCTGCTGCTACTGCGTTGCTACTGCTACCTGCGACGACTGCGACTGTGACTTGTACTGCTACTCCTGGTCCTACTCCTGCTCCTACTTGCTCCTCCGACTCCGCCTTTTCCTTTCCTCCCGGTCCTACTACCTCCACTCCTCATAGTCCTCCTCATCATTCACCTCAGCTCCTACTCCTACCCCTGCTTTTCCGACTCCTACTCCTGCACCTGCGAGTACTACTAGCACGACTATTTGTGGCACAAGTATTAATAATAGTAGTGATGGTGGTAGTTGCTGTTGACATGACAAAGAGTCCGAGTCACCAGCTTCCAGCCCTGAAGCTGTTCCCAAATCACGAAATCGCTCTTAGACCCAACCTCCCAGCCGTTGCCTTTAAACCGCCAGGCCCGGAATCCCCCGCTGAAACCAAAGGGCCTGGTAGTGGTGGTAGGCATATGTACTCAAGGTGGACTGGCTCCATCGGTGCCGGAGGCTGAAGTAAGCCATCATTAAGCCCATTGGGCTGGACACCTGGGTTTGGGGCCATTAGGCTTTAGGCTTGGATAACTAGCTTTCAGGGTCCCTTGTCTTCGTAACGCTACAGAGTTGGGCTCAGACTGACCCTAGGACGACGGATACATTTGTTTGTGGACAAGCGCTGCATCCTAATCCTCAATACTACGCCTCCTGTGACTATTACGACTGTGACTGCTGTCTTTTAATTCCCACCCTATATCTATGCGGCTCACCGTAAAAGTAAAGGCTGTCGTGGCATCCCCGACCTCGGTTTTCAGCTGGTAATCCACATCTGCTCCTGCTTCGATAAGGGCGCAGACCATCCGGGCGGAGCCTCCTCCGTGAAGAACTGCATCATGCAAGGCGATGGTGATCTCCTGTCCATGTTGGCGTTGTTTAGATAGGCTTCACAAAGAACAAAAACAAGATCTTCTCTATTCAAGCATGGGCGCACTAGGATCCGGTTGCAGATAGTCTGCTGTTCATTATTGGACAAGGACACCAAGCCCCGTTCAAGCGTGAACTGAGTTCAACCCTCAACCTCAACCTTGAACCCGTCAACCCTCCGGGTGGAACACGACAGACGGAACACGACGGAACCATAAACTCCATACCTTAAGCCTTAAGCTTTAAACCGGCAGAGGCTCGCATCTGCAGGCCATCCGTGTCGCGTCAACAATATGTTTTCCGGCATGTTTAACAGCCCGCTTCTCACGGATACTGCTATGTCCTACTCGTTACAAATATCATGAGCATTTGAACACGATTGACTACTTACAAGCCTGAAGGAATGCATCTTATTGCCGTTGCTTCATCTTGGTCCTTACTGCCGCTGAACCATTTGCGCCGTCCCCTACCCCCCGTCACTCCTCTAAAGGGGACCCTGAAAGGAACCCTCAAGCCTTAAAGAGGAGCCCGTAAAGAGGAAACCCTCATTAAACTCGGGGCTCGACAGGTCCTGAACCGACCTTCAGAATCACTGCCCCACCTCTGCCCGGGGTGTCCCTTATTGGGGCTTCTAGAGATTCTTGGTGCCCTGCCTCAACCCCAAATCCCCGAAACCATGCCCAAAACCCTAACACCCTAAACCCCTAAACCCTAACACTCTAAACCCCTAAACCCCTTCCCCCCTAAACCCCAAAATCCCTAAAACCCTAAAACCCGACAGCCGTGGCAGCGTCTCCTGGTGGGAGGTTCGAGGCAACAGCGCCTGGACCGCGTCGACGTGAGTGGTGGTGCTTGTGATCCTGGCTGGCTCGGGCAGTCGGAAGCCAGGAAGCCTAATTTAGGGGCCTTAATAATTAGAACAGGGTTTTCGGGCCCATTACACCATAATCAGAATAAGGAACCCCCCAAAATCGGATAGGCAAGGATTAAGGCCCCTATAGTATACCCTCAATCGCCATGTTTCAAGCAGCTGTGGGTCTGCCTATATCCCTGCGACACCCCGTTGACTGACTTGTTCATCTGCTTAACAGCAGGGTCAGACCCAAACCCAGTACCCTAAACCCTAAACCCTAAAACCCAAAACCCTAAACCCTAAACCCTAAACCCTAAACCCTAAACCCCAACTCTAGGCCACTTAAGCCCTAATCGAAGCCCTCAGTGCACCGGCGCCTGAACGCGCTGTATCCGATCATGTTGGTCTCTGCTGGCAGGCAGCCGGCGTCAAATAGGATTTGAATGCCTGGAAGGGGTTTAGGGTTTAGGGTTTAGGGTTTAAGGGTTTAGGGTTTAGGGTTTAGGGTTTAAGGGTTTAAGGGTTTAGGGTTCAGAGTCTGGAAGGGCTGGTAGCTCGGGACGTTTCTAAGAGACTCGATCGTTCACCCTTTCCAGATTGCACGGAACCCCTGCTTTGGCTTTCAAGGCCACCACGACGTTCGACGCGATTGACCCTGAATCCGAATGCACTTGCACTGGCTTTGGGGCTCGACAGCAGGCGAAATTGTCAAGGCTACGGTTGTAACAGCAAAAGCCTCTCCGTGCGGCCCTGCAACCCCAAACATCGAGGGTGTTTTTCTCGTCCCTAAACCCTAAACCCTTTCGGGTTTAGGGTGGCTCGTTCTCCGAGCTCACACGACCCTCCAGCTTGGCCTTCGACATTGTTTGTGATGCCAGCCCAGTGCAAAGCAGTGGACCCATAGCCATCTTTCGCATTGACCTGAAGGAGAGGGCATGGTCTTTCCGGTTTAGGGTTTAGGGTTTAGGGGTTTAGGGGTTTGGGGTTTAGGGTTTAGGCTTATTTCGGGCCATGATAAAATGAGGCCCTAAGTGCTGGGGCGAGGTCGGCAGCAGTTGCCGCGCAACCGAAACGGTGGTCGAGATGTCCTAACACAGGAGCATTAATAATTGGAATAAGGCTTTGGGGTATAGTATACTATAACTATAATAAGGAATCACCCAAAATAGTCTTAGTAATTATTGAAGCCCCTATATTAGCTAACCTCAGCTTCCCCGAGAAGCACTCGAAGGAGATCGGCACAAGCCGCCCCAATGTTCCACCGAAAGGGGAGGGTTTAGGGTTTAGGCTAGGATCGGCCCATCAGCCTTCGGCTAAAGGCACTTAAAGGATCCTGGGACTTAGTAAGTAAGGTTATAATTAAGGTAACTATACTTATATTTACTTATAACCCCAATTAAGGGACTTATAACCTTACTTACTAAGTCCCATGATCCTCCAAGCATCCTGCCTCGCACCCTTTTTTGATGAGCACCTTCATGGCCTCGTTGTTTTTGAAGCCTTCGGGAGTCGAACACGAGAGGCAGCAGTGGTGGAAGTAGTCGCCCCACTAAGAAAAAGCAAAACCTGTGATGTACTACTGGTAACCGCTAGTAGTAGTAGTAGTAGTAGTAGTAGTAGTAGTAGCAGGAGTAGTAGTAGTAGTAGTAGTAGTAGTAGTAGTACTATCAATAGAAGTTTTAGCAGTGGTGTGAAGTCGTCATCTTGCCGTCGTCGTCGCAGCTCTGGTGCCAGTCATGCACTAGCTCTTGGTACAAGCAGCAGTCACTACCAATAATCCGCAGAGCCTACAGATTCTACAGCAAACATGCATAGAATGTGGGACCAGGTCTTGCTCTATCCCCAGAAAGAACGTACAGATCAAAGAAATGCACTATCTTGTCTCGATTCTAGTCTTGCTATTGGGTGGGCTGCTCCATAAACCCAACTCCCAAAAGAGGACTCATAGCCACCCCAATTCCGAATCGGAACGAGCCAGGATTTAACACCAAGTAACAAGCACACATGTGCAGCACAGGAGTGCCAGCTGCCAAGTGAAAGCGTGACTCCAACCGTGTGATGCAGTCATTGGCGTCGGCCCTCTGCTCCAAGAGAGCAGCCATCAGCCTTTGTGTGAAAGCATACGCCCGACAGGTAGATACCCAAAACTTTGTAAGAGCTATGATCATAAATGCAATCATCGCGAATGCATCAATGATAGGAGCGCAACTAGCAAACATACAGAGGATCATGACCACTGTTGCCAGCAATCTAAGCATGATGGCAGCACTACCAATCCCACTGCCACCCCGACCGACTACCACTACCACTACCCGGTAGTGACTACCGCTTACAGACCGCCAGCCCACCACCGCCATCACCACCACGACGGCGACTACTAAGCAGTAACACTTCTTCTACTTCTACCACGTCTACCACCATCATCACCACGCCACCACCGCCACCACCACTATGACCACCACCACCACGACTTGCTGGAGCAGGACCTACCACACGGTGGATAAGTATTGTGCCTGTAGCTTTTCTCATCGCATTATGCAGTTCTTGTACATGCACATTTGTGGCAGCAATGAGAAGACGTACCAGTACCATGGGAAGGGCACTGTGAGTATGAGTCTCTTTGTGCTCGTTTGGCTTCGGCAAAACAAGTCCACCGCCAGTAGCTCGGTAGCATGAACCTTCTGAGCTTGCAGAGGGCTCTTGCTGCTTCTGGCATTGCGACTGCTTGAGATGGAAATCTAGACAGAGTGCATCATGTCTGGTTGTGCTGTGAGCATCTATGCTTCTGTAAATGGTGACCTATCTGAGTTGAGTTTGGCGGCAACACCACCCATCGAAGCTCCAATCCGACAGAACCCCAAACTATCAGTTGGCCCCGAGCTGTACCCACAACCGTAGATGCTCTATGGTAAGTGTGCAGCAAGCAGCATAGCAGTGCCATCCAATGCAGCCTCACTGGCCAGGGTCTAAGTTTTTAGGGGTCTGGTGGTGTTTTGGGCATTTGGTTTGGTTAGGGGATGCTAAACTAGGGTTTTGTGATACAGATGTCAGGGCTTCAGTGCGCGGAGAGCCTTTGGACTTCAAGCGGAAAAGGCTGGGAAGTTCGAGTTTCGGGGCTTCCTCGTGTTGCCTCACGCTCGTTCAGCGGAGCTCCTTCAGCAAGCTTTGACGCGTTCCGGGGTTGAGGGCTTAACACGACTTAGGTTTGGGCTGGGACGGCTATGGTTCGATGGACGTGGGTCAATGGTGAGAGAGAACGAACCCAAACCCTGCAAAACCTAAACCCTAAACCCTAAAACAAGCGAGCAGCGAAGCAAATGGGCGTCCAGCCCTCCGGGCTTCGTTCGTGTATGGATCCTAGGTTCGAAGTGCAGGGCTGGGAAGTTGGAAGGGGTCTTTCCATGAGGAGCTTGTGGACTTTGGGACGAATTCAATAATTACGGCTCTAGCTGGAGGAAGATAAGAGGAAAAGAAGACGAAAAAGGGTACTACCGGTCGCAGAATCGGAAGCCGTTCTGGTACATGAAGGCTGCCACCATGAAGGATGCCGGATCACGTGTCTCGGAGACAAACTCGGGCAGAAAGTCGTCGATGGGCCCGATGGGGAAATTTCGAAAGTAGACCCGCTGAAAATTGCGCTGCAGACGGTACTCATGAAAATCAGCCTCCATAAGGCATCCAGCCATCTTCCGTCGAAGCATTAGCCTTAAAACTTCGACGATCCTGCGCTTGTCCGAAGCCACGGAGAATTGACCCTCGCCGACAGGCATTAAGGCAACTGAGAAAGCCATCGTCGGTTCCACGGTCTGATGTGTCTCACTGATGATTTCAATGTCTGAGCCTGTTGATCCAGTTCGGCTCAATTCTCGCACAGCCCTTTCGAATCTGCACCAACCTCGGGGTGAGGGATCAAAAAAAAACTATTTAAGGGATCAAAAAAAAACTATTTTCCGAGGATCAAAAAAAAACTATTCACAGATCAAAAAAAAACTATTTTGCTCCTGGCATGGGGCACGGCAGTGCAGGGCAGGGCAGGGCAGGGCAGGGCAGGGCAGGGCAGGGCAGGGCAGGGCAGGGCGGGGCGGGGCGGGGCAGGGCAGGGCAGGGCAGGGCAGGGCAGGGGGCAGAGGGCAGAGGG